ACTCACGCTAGAACTTTACCGTTTCACATCAAAAACATCAAGTTACTGATCTATAAATAAAACTGGAGCAAGTGCTGTTTTCTTTTTTAAGCCAAACATGTCAATACAATAGAATCAAAATTGTCGAAAATATTGAAACAAGATGTACTTCTTTTATTTGCATCAAAAACATCAAATATGCCGGGGGGGAACAAAGGAAATCATAATTTGCTGGTGGAAAACCCCTAAAATGAACGTTGTCACCCCTCTGAAAGGCCAAGTCTCCATTGTAATGGACGCACAAAGCTATGTTTTTCAACCTTTTGTGAACAGGTAGGCAATTTGTCAACGCTGACCAAAAATGGCGGCTCATTTCTTCTTTGAGTTTCCATTTTCGCGTCGAAGAGCAAAAATATAGACTTTCGGAGAATATTGTAGCTGTTTACTATCAAATATGTTTGTGAAACAGTTAATAATCTCACTGAGGAAGGCCAACGGTTTCTGAAAAGCTAAAGTACGTCGAAATCAGCTTTGGAATAGACTATATTTTCACCGGGGAAACATGAACAAAATGGATATTTACATCAACACTAAATTTTGCTGGTGCCTACAGAGCTAGTTGGATTAAAACAGATGTTAAGAAGTAAGTGAAAATGTGAACTTTGTGAATTATACTTTCATTAAAATGTTTCAGACGGTTTGCTAATGTCAAACTACACGTGTGACAGAGCTGTCAGTATACCCATATTTCAATGTTTATGTTGAAATGACCTTATCTTCATTGAGGTATAGCTTAAAATTTAGTGTATGCTCATCACTTGAAACTAGCTTTAAATCAAAGTTTTATCTATAGTCTTTATATTAGAATTAAAATCATTCATGGGAAAAATGTGCCAAAGGGTTGAAATTGCCCTTGTAAATGTACACTATTTTTGACATGCTTGGGTTAGTATTTTGAAAAGGTGTTCTGGAAGGAAAATATGTCTTGAACAATACTGGTTGACCCTTAAATTATAACTAGTGTTATGTAAATCACAGAAAATTGAAAAAAATCTGGTCCATACACAATATTTTGGACCCTATGAGGTCCCGAATGGGGCTTATTTCAATGTTGAACCTGTTTACCTGGAAAAACTTAGAAAATTGAATAAGTCAAGAATTTGACTATGCTCATCACCCAAAACCAGGTTTTCCTAATTGCTTTTTCACCTGGGTTTGTGGCAATGCCAGTTATGCGACCACGAAAAATGCGCGCGGCACTTTTTTTGGACACTGAAGATGGTAACATTTGATGTTGTCATATATTGCCATCCTCTTATCGTAGCATAACTTAACTTATTTTAGTGAATTTGTTAAAGAGTTGTGTTCACTATATGCTTGTAGTATCTAAGATTTTTTCATAGCATTATATGATAAATTTAAGTTCTGTTTTCTTTTATTTTTAGGTGATAGTATCTGTTCATTCCAGTGTTGGTATCAAATTTTGGACAAGTTTCAATTATTATTTCACATTGCTTTATTCAAATATCCAAATAAATGGAATATGACATCAAGCTGGAGGACTAGATCCTGTTTTCAAACTTGTTTTTTGTAAAAATAGAAAATAACAACTTATTCTGTGTTGTTCTAATAAAAACCATTGTTTTTGATATGCATATATTTTAATTTTATTCTTTGTTAAAATGTGTACCTGGAATACTGAAATCTTTCAGATCAGCTAACAAATACCTTTATAGCTTATATAGCCAAGTGTTCTATCTATTTTTGTTTAGATTAAACAAATAATGGGTAAAATATTAGATAAAATTTTTTAAAAAAATATGAGCTTGCCTGTTTTCAAAGCATAAAAAGCAATAAAATAAAGCAAAAGTACTTATTTTTTATTTAAAACCTTTGGAATGCACAGCTTAATGTTTTCCACGAAATATTACAAAGTTTCCGTTCATTAAAATGTTGTTTTATCAGCTTTAAAACCAGATAAATCCTCGAAACACTCCTGATATATGTCGCCATATTGATTTTCTGCGCGCATGCGCAGACAAATTGCCTACCTGTTGTGTTGATATCTATATATATCAACACTGCTTTTCAATGGGCGAGCTTAATATAAATTGACATTTGGAAGGTCTTGGAAGCATTTGGTGCATTCTACACGCCGTTTTGGGCTGCCTATGGTTTTTTTCGCTGTTGTTTCGGTATTAATTCTTTAAAAAACTTGTATTTAAACTAATTTCTACGTAATAAATGTATTTTGCTAACCTGTCAAATTTTTTTTGAGAGTTTTTCCTTGTACTATTATCTTTCTCAAAGCGAATATTTTCCTTTTTTCTGCTTCGCAAAACTCGTGTAGTGTTTGGACCGCCATCTTGTTTTTCGCTACTCGCCGTATATGAGCTGATATACGGCGAGTAATTCAACCAATCAGATTGCAGAACAGCTCATATACGGTGGATGACTATATTATCATGGGTCAAAATTAATTCAGTTTATATAGGACTGGATCAAAATGAATTCACCTCACTTTAATTAATCATTTATTCGTATGAGATGTCATTTCAATTCCTCCAATTCGGACTGGATTAGATTTCGATCAAGTCCTCACATTTTGATTCAGTCCTCGGCTTCGCCTCGGACTTGATCAAATTACGCGGACTTGAAATCTAGTCCAGTCCTCATAGTCGGTTTTGGAATATTACTTAAGACATCTTGGTTAAAATTTGCCTGGTTGACCTAGAAATGATCCTGTTTGGGTTAAAGTTAATATTCCTGGTTAAATTTCCTGGCTGGTTAAGTTTTCTTTTTGAGCTATACTGTATAATTATATAGTACAAATATCTCAAATATTTCTACGTTCTTTAGTCAATGATGGTTCGAGATGTGGTTCGCGATTGCTTGGAGAAGGACGCAGCAGAACGAACGGAAAATGATATTGGTAAGCTACGAACACATCGAAGGGAGGCCAATGGGGTTGGGAGTGTAATAAACAGTAAAGTCTATATGGGGGGTCAGGTGTCAAAAGTTGTCTGTTTGTGTGTCTATAGTACTTAATCATTAAAATCAATAAGTATGAAAATAAATTGCAATTAGTAAGAAAACTGAATTTCCATACTATTTCCAACGAAGATCCATAGCTACTATTTCCACAGTAAGGATTTTGAAAACAATTTCCAGTGATATAAGATTGACTGGATCACTAGGGAGACTCTCTCCTCCGCAGAGCCTCCTTTTACATGTAAGTATTTACAAATAACTTACATGAAGTTTCCTGAATAAAAGTGAGCGCGCGCGGTGTGATGGGAAGATTGAAATGAAGTTGGGATTAAGAGGATATTTATAATTCGATAGCTCGTATCCATTGATATTCCTTTGCAATTTCTCAATATTTTTCGATGCAAATGGACAGAAGAAGATATTGATATTGAATTCACCCCAGGATACTCAAGTACGCCTGAAAATGAAAGTCGAAAACATGTTTTAACACCCTCGATGGTTGATCGAACTTCGCTACAAACGATTATATACGACGCCTTATTGATTGCATTAACTCGCAGAGGCTTCCTTTATTTAGCTCTTCCCATCACTCCTTGCGCGCTCACTTTTCACTCACTAGAAACTTCATGTAAGCCTCTGCGGAGGAGAGAGCTAGGGAGAAGTATTTAGGACAGGTAGACCTACTTGTATCTTTATAAATATATTTTGTTCTTTCTATCTGTCTGTCAGGGAGGGGGAGTCGCGTAACTCGCGTTTCCTTCAAAAATTCTATTTTGTTCATGCAAATGCCTCAATTAAAGGACATTGGCAATAAAAAATTAGTTTAGTTCATTTGAAAGAACTCTTAAAACTATATATTAAACTCTATTACAGATTGTTTATATCTTGCTTAGTTTTCAAAATATTTCGACTGAAAAAAGTGAGCTGTTCACCATCTTGGATTATTGAGGATATGCATGTTACGTCAAGAGAGGGGTCACGCTAATTTTTTATCTTGAGAGTAAGCGATCAATATGGGTCCAAAAGTTCGTTTCTGGTTGCTGTCAGAAATTTAGAAATGATTAAAAACATTTCAAACAATTTTGGATTGTTATTCGATCATTTTAGAGTAGTTTTATATGGTTAACCCAACTCCTGACGTCATCAAAACCATAGTTAATGAGGTAAAGAATTTTTCCAAGGTGGCGGAAAGCTCATTAATTTCGGTCTAAATATTTCGAGAACTAAGCAAGATATGACAAATCGGTAATAGAGTTTAATATATAATTTTAAGAGTTCTTTTGAATGAGACAAACTATTTTTTTTATTGCCAATGTCCTTTAGGGACCGGTCATAAAATAACTGCTAGGGTGGGCTGGAGTGATTTGGGATGGGTCATGGAAAATCTTTGGGCAGTTTCGATGGGCGGCAATTTTTTTTTGTATGTCCACGGTTGGGCCACCAAACAAAAATCCATGCATGTCTACTTCAAAAAATAAAGATATTAATAATAAAAGTAAACAAAACTATATCCAAATTATCAAACGCAAATTATGCTATTGAAGCCAGTACTCTGTTTATGCAACAAGAAGTGGTCGAATCATAGTAAATACAACCAACTGGAGAGCAGCTCAGTATCAATGTGTTGGTCAAACTTGGTGGAATTATGTATGTCAATACAGTGCCGTGTACATTTACAATGTTCATACCTGCAAGTTTTTTTATTATAAAAGTATATTTTTCCAATTTAGATTGGGTGGGTCATGAAAATTTTTTTTGTAAGATTAGATGGGCTTTGAAATTTTTATCTACATCCTAAGATGGGTCACCAAACTTATTGGCAAAATTTGTGATTTACCTCCAACCCACCCTAGCAGTTACTTTATGACCAGTCCCTTAACCGAATGTAATATTTTTAAATTCATTTTAGAGGCACTTATGGATTTCATGCAACATCTTCCGGTACGTAACAGTTAATATTTTTTTCTGTATACATTATCTAACGTGTCACCTTGAAGACAATTTAGTTACATATATGGTTTAAAAGTAACCAACTGTTTTGTTCCTTAGGCGTTTGCAAGCATGACAACGAACATCAGACGTGAACTTTGTGCAGTGATGTTGTTTGCTGTTGTGGAACATGCGAATGTTGTCGTTCTTAACGACGGTGACCAGGTATGAACATGTATTTATTTTGCTTAACTTGATACACTATTGGGCAGTCCACTAGACACGTAAAAATCTCACAACTTGTCAACAAGATGTACTGTGTTCGCAACAGGATTGTAGCAAGCTTGTCAACAAATTGTAACAACACTGTTTTTTTATCAAGTTGCTACAAGGTTGTCACTTGTTGGACGACAACAAGTTTTTGGAACAACTTGTAATAAGCATGATGTTTGTGATGTTACTCTGAGTGTATAGACCCATTGCACATGACGTCGTCACAGCGCCAGTAACGATGCATCTGGAGGACAAATTAGCAATCTATGCATAATATAACTTTTGTAAACAAAGCAAATTTTGTAAAACTTTATAATAATTTTGTATTAAAATGGTTAATTTTTGCGCTGTATGTGGTTGTTGTACCTGAACAGATATTGTTAGGGAGCATCTGGAGGACACTCTAAGGATTTGTGACGTCAGTGCAATGGGTCTATATCCACACCGGGCAAGCTTGAAAAATATGCCTGGCCACTGGGAATCGAACCTACGACCTTTGGAATACTAGCCCAATGCTTAGCCAACTGAGCTACGCGGTCAGGTCGGTTTGAGTATGTGATATTTCGGAACTGAGTCTAGTTCCTTCGATACCGTTAACAACTTGTCAACAAACTGGAAACAAGCAGTGCGACCTGTCTGCTGCAGGTTTGTTACAACTTGTGCGTTTTTACGTATGTAGCTAGTGTTCAGAACTTCAGAGCAGGCTTTTTTCCAGCTTGTCAAAACTGACCGGACGTCCAAAAAGTATCGTTGAATGCTGATGTGCATGGCAACGTATTTTCGTGGACGCCGTCAAAAAACATTGCGCCTAAAATCAATTCCACGTAATTGAGGTTTTCGGCACTTTTTTGGTCGGAAAAATGTGGAATTACGGTAATTCCACGTCCCTTCGACCAAAAAAGTGCCAAAAAACCTTAAAATATCTCGGTGGTCAAGCATTTCATTCAGCGTTTGCGTATTAATGTTATATATACAAAGAGAATACTTAATAACACATTGATTTAGGGAGACCTGATATTAAATTTGCTGATCAGATTTTATTTATTGGTAGTTACTTGGGTGAATAGAATATTTTTAAAATTTCAACCTCTGATTTGAGGTATATAAGAAAAATTACAAAGCTTTGTAGTGTTTGTTTAATTAAAGAACACATTTTCTTAGGCCGTGAGGTGCAAGTAACGTCCCCTGGGCATCGTCATATGCACTCTTGTTATCTTGTTACCATGATAAAGTGGTTCAAAATATAATGCCTTCACTTTCTTACAGCTTGATTCCTGGTGTGTGATACTGAACGGTTCAGTGGAAGTCCAGGTTGAAAGTCAGGAGCCAGTTACGTTACATTTAGGAGAAAGTTTTGGAGTACAACCAACATTGGAGCAATACTATCACAAGGGTGTCATGACGACACGTGTGGATGATTGCCAGGTATGAGGGGGTATATGGGAACAGTGGTTGACCGTGATGGACACATCTATGTTGAAGCCCGCACGAATACAGTACATACCATACTATGCCAACTATGGTCTATAGTTCAGCATGCTATGTATTCGCCCTGGGGTTGTTTGTTCAATAGCGGGCTAGCTTAATCCTAGGTGAACGTAAATTGAAAGAAAACTTTCCAGCAATTTATTTATAAATTTGGAAATATTTTTTTCACAAATCTTGTCAAGTAGTCAAATAATCGTTATATTTAAAAGAATGCGTTTCGCAATATCATACAGTACATATAAAGCTGGTTTTCCACAAAGCGAATTTGTTTGTTAACTCGTGCTATTTTCTTGCAGTTCGTGTGTATCCCACAATCAGAGTATTATCGTATTTTGAGTCAAGGGGAAGAAAATATACAAGAGGTTACTGAGAATGGCGAGGTTGTCGTGGTAACCGAGTATCGCTCACTGGACGGCGGGAATAGACATGGTCACGTGGTCATAAAGGTAAGATAAATGACTAAGCTGCTTGTACATTTTTGGGTCCGTTTGATCATGCCCTTAACTGTCTATAAAGAAAATTTATTGAATCATGCATTGTATACAGGCCTTTAAATTTCGGTCGGTCACAGACATTGTCCGACCCATTCGTGAAATTGTCCGACGTAGAGAGGAAACCACTGGACATTCTGTTCGTCCTAAGTGAAACTGAAGGTTGTTTGTCCGACATGAGTGAATTGGTGTCTGACTTTGTCCAACGTAAATCAGAATGCACCCTAGTCCAGGACAAGAGGCTCGTATGTTAAATGAAGAATCAGAGTAATGTATAAAAAGTGAACTGGAAATGTGTAATCTGTAAGTGCGTGGGTTTCCCAAATTGAGATGATATTAATTTGTGTCTGCATTCATACTTATTTCCAAGCCAAACTGAATTCAAAGTCATCAGACATCCATCGGATCTCACAATACATAATGTCCGGCCCAAACTGAAAGTCATCGGACATCACAATACATAATGTCCGACCCAAACTCAAAGTCTTCAGACATCACAATACATAATGTGCAACCCAAACTCAAAGTCATCGGACATCACAATACAAAATGTCCGACCCAAACTCAAGAGTATCCACGGATCTCACAATACATAATGTCCAACCCAAACTCAAACTAGTCAGACATCACAATACATAATGTCCGCCCCAAACTCAAAGTCATCAGACATCACAATACATAATGTCCGCCTCAAAGTCATCAGACATCACAATACATAATGTCCGACCCAAACTCAAAGTCATCAGACATCACAATACATAATGTGCAACCCAAACTGAAAGTCATCGGACATCACAATACATAATGTCCGACCCAAACTCAAAGTCATCAGACATCACAATACATAATGTCCGACCCAAACTCAAAGTCATCAGACATCACAATACATAATGTCCGACCCAAACTCAAAGTCATCAGACATCACAATACATAATGTCAGACCCAAACTCAAAGTCATCAGACATCACAATACATAATGTCAGACCCAAACTCAAAGTCATCAGACATCACAATACATAATGTCAGACCCAAACTCAAAGTCATCAGACATCACAATACAAAATGTCCGACCCAAACTCAAAGTCATCAGACATCACAATACATAATGTTCGACTCAAAGTCATCAGACATCACAATACATAATGTCCCACCCAAACTCAAAGTCATCAGACATCACAATACATAATGTCCGCCCCAAACTCAAAGTCATCAGACATCACAATACAAAATGTCCGATTCAAAGTCATCAGACATCACAATACATAATGTCCGACCCAAACTCAAAGTCATCAGACATCACAATACATAATGTTCGACCCAAACTCAAAGTCATCAGACATCACAATACATAATGTTCGACCCAAACTCAAAGTCATCAGACATCACAATACATAATGTCCGACCCAAACTCAAAGTCATCAGACATCACAATACATAATGTCCGACCCAAACTCAAAGTCATCAGACATCACAATACATAATGTCCGACCCAAACTCAAAGTCATCAGACATCACAATACATAATGTCAGACCCAAACTCAAAGTCATCAGACATCACAATACATAATGTCAGACCCAAACTCAAAGTCATCAGACATCACAATACATAATGTCAGACCCAAACTCAAAGTCATCAGACATCACAATACATAATGTCCGACCCAAACTCAAAGTCATCAGACATCACAATACATAATGTCCGACCCAAACTCAAAGTCATCAGACATCACAATACATAATGTCCGACCCAAACTCAAAGTCATCAGACATCACAATACATAATGTCCGACCCAAACTCAAAGTCATCAGACATCACAATACATAATGTCAGACCCAAACTCAAAGTCATCAGACATCACAATACATAATGTCAGACCCAAACTCAAAGTCATCAGACATCACAATACATAATGTCCGACCCAAACTCAAAGTCATCAGACATCACAATACATAATGTCCGACCCAAACTCAAAGTCATCAGACATCACAATACATAATGTCCGACCCAAACTCAAAGTCATCAGACATCACAATACATAATGTCCGACCCAAACTCAAAGTCATCAGACATCACAATACATAATGTCCGACCCA